TCGTCGGTGAACAGGATTACCGAATTTTTTCACTTAAGGAAGTTCAAGATTTTCTTGCATCGTGCGGTTGGTAATCATGTGAGTTATTTTCCGTGCCCTCGACTTCGCCCCGCAATCTTCCTTTATGATCTTCCGTGCCGTAAAGTCACTGATACCGTGTTCCTTTGCCATTTTCCTTATTGAACGCACTGGATTCACCCGAATCTTCTTTTTGATAGCGGCGATAACCCTCGGAACCCGAGCTGACCTCGGACGACCTGTGGCCACCTTCATGGATAGTTGTCCTTTCTTTTCTCAAAAGGGTTTTAGACGGTCCACCGGGACACTCCGGCGATTGAAATGTCTTTGCGCGTGGGACGAATCACGAATACGCTGCCACTTCGTCATGGTGCAACTGTCAAACTAAGTAAATCATTTTCTTTTATACACAGCCTACTATAGGTATGAGCTATAGGTTACGTGCATGCAAAGAAAACCAAGGCATTGTATGCACAGGTGAAACGGGAACCTTAGTTGTACGATGGTGCAAACATTATCACGTATACGGTAGATTGGGAGAGCATCCTCGATCCTGACAACGTTGAAACTGCCGCGCAAACTATTTTACATGTCTTGGCACAGACAATCATCCTCCCTGCCAGACGAGTGAGCTGCGTAGGTCGAAGACGACCAAGAGAGCCACATTAAACAATTTCACCAAGTACCACTACGTTAGGCTCAATTATGAGTTCAAGCGAGTTAGCCGTCGATGCTATTCTGTCCTTCTGTAGTTCTTCTGGAATTACGTAAATAAGCAGCGCAAAGAGTCCGGCCAACCATCGTCAATGGAGTTGAACGGTGAAGTCGGTTCTACCTCTCTGACGAGAGATTAGCCGACGAACACGTTGCTCTAGCAGCTTGCAATGTTTCACTGTACGGTCAAACATTGGGTGCAATTTATGTCAACGTCGAGATGATTTTCACTCCCATCATGTTGGAAATTGGCACAGATGTCTTCTGTCCACGAACAGAGAAGGAATCGAGACGTGAATAATTATCTAGGAATCACATCGTTGTGAGCTACCTCAAAGCTATTTGAGTGAGTCATTGTGGAGCCTCTGCTTTCACGTTGTAAGCTGTATCTAAGTGCAGATCAACACGTCTGCTATGTCCTACATCGTAAATCACGGAAAGCATGGCTGAACGGGTACAAACAGGCGTCCTATATACCGATTTGTCAGCAGCCTTCGATAAGCTAAACCACGCCATTGCGATTGCCAAACTACAAAGACTTGGGGTCAGCGGAAGCTTCCTGCTATGGTTTCACTCTTATCTCGCTGATCGTCAGCAGTTGGTTGCCGTCAGTGATTGGCGGTCCGATATTTACCAAGCCACCTCAGGAATACCTCAATGAAGTCATCTAGGACCGTTGATCTTCTTACTTCGACTTTCTCATGCAGATGACCTTAAAATCTACTTCCGGGTCCGTTCGGTTGATGACTGTTACTTTCTTCAAAGTCAGCTTGAAGCCGTACAACGTCGTTTCCTCCGATTTGCTGTGCGGAAGCTACCTTGGAGAGACCCGTTTCGTCTGCCCAGTTATGAAAGTCGATGCCAGTTGATCGATCTAGAACCTCTTAGAATTCGTAGAGATACTTCGAGGGCTCTGCTATTCGCGGACAGCTTACAGGGCAGAATAGACAACCACGAGCGCTATGGAACAATGTTATGCTGAGATTACCACTTCGTTGCGCTAACTACAGCTGGCTTACAGCGAGTACGAACAGATGATACGATTTTCATCCGCCTATTGCCTTGCAGCTTCAATTTGTGCAATGTTTTCATGAAACATACACAAGCCAAAAATAAGTTTCGTTTAGATCTTCCGTGAAAAAGTTTTCAACTGGCTTCGGTGGGCTGTGGATAGAGTTGTAGTAACTTTTAAGTGCATTGTACATCCTGCTCCACCGTAGGCATGAGAGACAGCCATCTAGCTTTGGAATATTTGAGGATAGATTTATATTCTGTTGCATGCATGAGCATGAGCATGATTGACCGCCCACGGTTACTACTCTGTTATTGCCAGACCAGCTTTAATTTCACAGAGAACCAATAGACGATGCTTGGGACTAGCAATCATCCTCAATGTGTAAAAACTGGCTCAAACTAGGAAATACCAGCGCCGGCCGCGCCCAAACACAGGTCAAGAAATGAAAGGGTAGGAATGTGTTGACGTGACAATCATTTTGATGGAAGCCGAGAACACCTCTGTACTTCCACGAGGAATCACTGGGATATTGGATAATAGAATTGAGTTTGCAGCAGGGTTCGTTTTGGTAAACGATAAGCTGAATTGATGTCCTAACAATCATATAACGCGAAAGAGCTTGGGATTGAAGCCACGGTCTTCGGCCCAGTAAGCAAAAACGTTTGCCACTACGCAGACGAGCTCCTTTTTAATCACCGAGTGGCTGTTATTACCATGTAGTCATATTAACAAATAAAACGATTGACGAATCTTGAATGTGGATGCGCTTGAAATTAGACTCATGATGTTCTGCTCAGTAAGCAAAAATGGTTGCTCTAAGGCCACCGAGCCCCTCATATCACATTATACCGTTACTCAAGTTGTTATAACTATTCAAACCCAGCACAGAAGACAACGAAAAGTTTTATAACATTCACGATAAACATGCGACCTTACCATATATTTTTAATATAAAAGGACCTGGGACCGCGTTGTTCTGCTCAGTAAGCAAACCACTGCATTCGACGATCTTTCAAATTCTAAAACTAAAAGCTACGAAAGAGTACTTAGGCCTTCATTAAGTTCCACTTTCACGTGACGTTCAATATTTCGATTTGCTCTTTGCGCATGGTTCAGGCAATCATAACAAGCTATAACAGACGTGACGATTGTTTAAGCCCTGTTTAAACAAGTTGAATAGTACGTTCTCGAATTTCACTTGTTATGTAATGAACAACAGAAATACGCGATAATTCATATTAACGGTACTGCCTACGACGACTACGACGGCGATTACGACGGCGCCTGCGACAACGACAACACCGAATTTGTAACTTACCATTTGTCTAGGATATCACACCTCGCGGCGGACACATTACCCTAGCAGCACAAATGTCACTGAACAATTGTGGTTACTTGTGTGCCACTTATTCCAGTCACAATATGGTTGCAGCAGCTTATTTCGATCGAAGTGTGCTGCTTGGGTATCAGCACATTCCCCAGCTAATTTATCAAGCGGCCCGTGTTCAGACTCGCACACGGTGACGAGACTCTCGATAGAACTACACGCCGAAAGCGTAACATCCCTAACACGGTGAACCGGCCTCCCGGTAGGCAATGAAAATCATAAGCACACTTACACAACGCTGGTTACAAAAAACACACCCATTCAAAGAAACGGATCCAATAAACGTCACTCTAGCGAAAGCAAACACGTTGTCTTCGAACGGCAAACAAAAAGGAACTCGGTGAGCAATTTTGTGATATGGAATTTCCACTGAAAATCTGCCGGGAATGCACGAATTTCACCACACCCAACTGCGAAACACGTTTAGGAGCACTTTTGATACACTTTCGGTATCAATTTTGGTCGAAAACACTTTATTTTTTGCAAAAATAGTTGCGAGCGAACTAACATCAACACCGACTGCCGAGCTCTTTCACGCACCTTACGCGGAAATTAAACTGAAATTAAAAATTATCACTCGCAATGCCACAAATTTCTTCTGATGCTTGCAAACATTAACAATCATGATGATTATAAAACTTCCCAGAAAGCGAGAAAACCAACAATCACACACGTATAACCGTCCTGGAGGCAGAGTGCCAGCACTAATCCGGTAAAGGCAGCCGAAAACTATGAAAGCGAACGCACGCACAAAACAGAGAACAAACTTAAAACACAACTCCACTCTGGATTTATTCTGTTTCAAGAAATAAGCAAAAACTCCTAAATACGAACTGTATATTTCGAAAAAAAATCTTCAATATCAAAGTCCAACCATTTGAACCCATGTTTGGCCGTATTATGAAGCAAGTGCCTACGCGATTAATACCTTCGAAATTTGTTTTACAGTTATCTCCCGAAAACGAAATGCCTTTGCCAGCTGCTATTACCTACAACTCCAGGGGTGTTTTTTGAACTACAAAAAGCTCGCCCAGCTTTTGAGACGATTCAGCCGATCTCACACAAGCCTAGTGTTTTTGCGATTCCAAATGCTGGACCAGATATTCCTGACAGAAATCGTTTTCTGACAAACTTCCCATAGCACTTCGGATTTACTGTTGGTAGTTTTGAAATGTAGAAACTCTTTCTGCAAACCTTCCGACGACTTATTTCTTCGGCGAGATATGATGACTGTCAAAGATTTATTACTAAAATAATAAAGTTAGGGTGGGATTATAATCTTGCAACTTACCAAAATAATTTCAACTATACGTGTATGGCATCAATAGTTAAAATTATGCTGCCAAGAAGATAAGAAATTGTTCTGACACATCGAAATCGTTTGTTTATGCTTGGAGTGAAATGCAAATTCTCAGTAGCCTGATAGTGGCTGAGCAGCTATCTCGTAACTCGTTAAACGTCACCTTGAACGTCACTCACAGCTGCCATTAAACTGTCAAACGAGGGGCTTGTTTGAAAAGCGTAATACATATTTCCATACACTGAAAACATGAATAGGGTAAATTTGATTATATTCTACCATATACCTACATCTAAAATAATAGCAAATAGTAATCGCCCGATTTGGTTTGTCTTTTCTTCGAATGAAAACAAATTACAATAGACAATGAAGTAGGAGGTAGTCGGCCTAATACGGGAAAGTCATAAGTTTTACAGTACATAAACATCCGTTTTTCAAAAAAAAAGAGTACTAAATTTAACAAAACAAAAAAGGAGTACTTATGGTAACCCTAATCTCACACCAACACCAAACATCACTCCGAAGTAACTGTAATTGGCATTTCGATTTCTCTTCCTTTCCTGCAGCACCTCGTACGATCGCAAAATGCGAAGGCACGTGAACGATGCGACCGGAGGAGACCAGAGGAAGCACCGGCCGGTTGCCAGTCACAGCCAGCTGGCGATTCGGATCACCGAAGCACTGACCAACAATGTTGGCCGGATAGAGATCACCTGTCTGGCGACGATTCCGGCGCACGTGGAACCCGGCGAGCAGTACGCCGACTACAAGACGTCACTCATCAAACGTAAGTACACAGCAGTGTGTCGAAACAAAGCAGGCCGATGGCGAATTCAACAGCAAACGTTCTGCTCTGTCAGCCTGCTGTGCGCCAGCAGATAAGGATCTCGAGCTCGCACATTTCCTTACCATCGCCGCATCACCATCATCATTATTATCGTTATTATGGCCATCATTTTCATTCCGCTCGCCGGAGTGCCGCTATTGTCCCAACAACCGTTACTGTTGGCCATCGCGATAGCGACCCCTTTCCAAGCGAAATGAAAAAAAAAAAACGCAAGACGATGGGCACTGCTGGCATTGGCGGTAAAAAGGCACATTTTTCTAAAGGAAATTTTCTTTTATTTCAATCCCTCCCTGCCTCAGCTGCGCTCCCAGTGGATCCTTCCTTCAGGAAGCGACAAGGAGAAAGCATTGCATCATCATCATCCTTCTATAAAATATTTTTTTTTCTTCTGGCTCGTTTACTTCCTCCCCCTGCCACAGCTTCCACGATATCATCAGCGCTTCCTGGAAGCCACTCGGACATAAAGCAAAAAAAAATGAAATGCAATGAACAAAAAAAAAGTTGTAGTTCTCCACCCTCAAATCCCAAACGGCGACGACGACGACGACGACGGCGGGACGCGAGAAGAAGCCCTTTTCTATATGTTTAATAATTTTCTTTTATTCTTTTACGCTTCAGCGAGAGTGGTTTCCCGGAAGCCGCCGCGAAAGGGGTGATTTTCCCATGTTTCGAGATTGAGGTTGCCGCTGCTGGAGAGAGAAGAAAAAAAGAATCAAGAAGAAACAATAGTGGTTGTAACTTTCAAGAAATGAAATAATGCCGCAGCAGGCGGGGAGCGAAAGCTGTTGAAAGTTTGTCCGAAACGGTTAGAGTAGTCGTTTCGGGTGTTATGGGAATGTAGGGGAAGGTGACGTCAAAGTGGAAGTTGTTTGACAGAGAGTCAATGTTGTAATAAGAGTCCCGCCAAGAGTGAAGCCAGAAGTACCAATCGAACTGTCAAGCGGGGCAGCAAACAAGCAAAGTAAATAAGGATTATTGTTCCCATAGCCAGTGAACTACAAGTATTGCATTCATTACTAACAGTATTTAAGTAATTTTAGATGATAAACATATCTTCGGTTTATTTAGTTCATTGTGGTATTTACCAAGCACTTGTTGGAACATTTTTCGCGTTCTATAATTGTGTTTGTCGCCCATAAGCTCCGTTATCGACATGAAATTTTTCACTTCTGAATGAAAGTCATCCGATGCTAACGCAAAAAATCTGATTGCCGTTTATTCTGACGAAAAATAAATCACAAACAGTGCTGCTTGTTCGCAGCATTGTCTCTTGACGGGACTCTTATTATAACATCGACTCTGGTTTGACAGATATATTTACCCAATTCTAGGCATACCTAGATATATGATGCCAAAGCAAGGTATGCCTAGAATTGAAATTATACCCCTTCGATTTCAGCAAGGGCGTCCCTTTTTGGGTTTTTGGGTTTTTGGGTTTGCCTCGGGATCATATGATATTACAGCCAGCGTTCTTCAGTCTTCCGATAAGTTAAAGTACTTTAAAATATAATGAAAATCTATTAACTGAGTGTACGTGATATATGCACTTGTATGTATTTTGGGTTTACAAGTTTACGATTTTCAGAGCTAGGAGGAAATGCTATACTAATATCAACATGAAGCTTGTGTGCGATAATTGATTAGCTGGGGAAAGTTCTGAAGAGCATAGAATGATGGTTCCGCTAGAGTACGGCAGTGTGTGTAAATGAATGTAATAACTCAAGGCGGGAGTAACCGTCAACAATGCTGATGACGGTACAGCACGCAACACCACCCTACTGCTTCTCTCTAAGATGACTAAGTTGGTCATTACGAGAGAAGCAAAACAATAGTTGGGTGAAGAAGAGTTGCATTATAGCACACCATCGCCTGGTAATGTTTTCGGCAACGTGGGGCTTTAGGTAGTGATAAACGTCGCTAGAACTATTCCACAGCCACAGACAGTATATGAGCAAGTCAACTCTTTTGCCTGTGGATTTGAGGATATTCCGCAAATTACATCATCCATCAGATTATGAGTTGGGTAAAGGAGTTCGCATACAACTAGTATTCTCGCATTAATGGCCCTTCGCTCAATTTCAACTTCTGTTCAATTCACTGCCAGACAGACAGACAGACAGACAGACAGACAGACAGACAGACAGACAGACAGACAGACAGACAGACAGACAGACAGACAGACAGACAGACAGACAGACAGACAGACAGACAGACAGACAGACAGACAGACAGACAGACAGACAGACAGACAGACAGACAGACAGACAGACAGACAGACAGACAGACAGACAGACAGACAGACAGACAGACAGACAGACAGACAGACAGACAGACAGACAGACAGACAGACAGACAGACAGACAGACAGACAGACAGACAGACAGACAGACAGACAGACAGACAGACAGACAGACAGACAGACAGACAGACAGACAGACAGACAGACAGACAGACAGACAGACAGACAGACAGACAGACAGACAGACAGACAGACAGACAGACAGACAGACAGACAGACAGACAGACAGACAGACAGACAGACAGACAGACAGACAGACAGACAGACAGACAGACAGACAGACAGACAGACAGACAGACAGACAGACAGACAGACAGACAGACAGACAGACAGACAGACAGACAGACAGACAGACAGACAGACAGACAGACAGACAGACAGACAGACAGACAGACAGACAGACAGACAGACAGACAGACAGACAGACAGACAGACAGACAGACAGACAGACAGACAGACAGACAGACAGACAGACAGACAGACAGACAGACAGACAGACAGACAGACAGACAGACAGACAGACAGACAGACAGACAGACAGACAGACAGACAGACAGACAGACAGACAGACAGACAGACAGACAGACAGACAGACAGACAGACAGACAGACAGACAGACAGACAGACAGACAGACAGACAGACAGACAGACAGACAGACAGACAGACAGACAGACAGACAGACAGACAGACAGACAGACAGACAGACAGACAGACAGACAGACAGACAGACAGACAGACAGACAGACAGACAGACAGACAGACAGACAGACAGACAGACAGACAGACAGACAGACAGACAGACAGACAGACAGACAGACAGACAGACAGACAGACAGACAGACAGACAGACAGACAGACAGACAGACAGACAGACAGACAGACAGACAGACAGACAGACAGACAGACAGACAGACAGACAGACAGACAGACAGACAGACAGACAGACAGACAGACAGACAGACAGACAGACAGACAGACAGACAGACAGACAGACAGACAGACAGACAGACAGACAGACAGACAGACAGACAGACAGACAGACAGACAGACAGACAGACAGACAGACAGACAGACAGACAGACAGACAGACAGACAGACAGACAGACAGACAGACAGACAGACAGACAGACAGACAGACAGACAGACAGACAGACAGACAGACAGACAGACAGACAGACAGACAGACAGACAGACAGACAGACAGACAGACAGACAGACAGACAGACAGACAGACAGACAGACAGACAGACAGACAGACAGACAGACAGACAGACAGACAGACAGACAGACAGACAGACAGACAGACAGACAGACAGACAGACAGACAGACAGACAGACAGACAGACAGACAGACAGACAGACAGACAGACAGACAGACAGACAGACAGACAGACAGACAGACAGACAGACAGACAGACAGACAGACAGACAGACAGACAGACAGACAGACAGACAGACAGACAGACAGACAGACAGACAGACAGACAGACAGACAGACAGACAGACAGACAGACAGACAGACAGACAGACAGACAGACAGACAGACAGACAGACAGACAGACAGACAGACAGACAGACAGACAGACAGACAGACAGACAGACAGACAGACAGACAGACAGACAGACAGACAGACAGACAGACAGACAGACAGACAGACAGACAGACAGACAGACAGACAGACAGACAGACAGACAGACAGACAGACAGACAGACAGACAGACAGACAGACAGACAGACAGACAGACAGACAGACAGACAGACAGACAGACAGACAGACAGACAGACAGACAGACAGACAGACAGACAGACAGACAGACAGACAGACAGACAGACAGACAGACAGACAGACAGACAGACAGACAGACAGACAGACAGACAGACAGACAGACAGACAGACAGACAGACAGACAGACAGACAGACAGACAGACAGACAGACAGACAGACAGACAGACAGACAGACAGACAGACAGACAGACAGACAGACAGACAGACAGACAGACAGACAGACAGACAGACAGACAGACAGACAGACAGACAGACAGACAGACAGACAGACAGACAGACAGACAGACAGACAGACAGACAGACAGACAGACAGACAGACAGACAGACAGACAGACAGACAGACAGACAGACAGACAGACAGACAGACAGACAGACAGACAGACAGACAGACAGACAGACAGACAGACAGACAGACAGACAGACAGACAGACAGACAGACAGACAGACAGACAGACAGACAGACAGACAGACAGACAGACAGACAGACAGACAGACAGACAGACAGACAGACAGACAGACAGACAGACAGACAGACAGACAGACAGACAGACAGACAGACAGACAGACAGACAGACAGACAGACAGACAGACAGACAGACAGACAGACAGACAGACAGACAGACAGACAGACAGACAGACAGACAGACAGACAGACAGACAGACAGACAGACAGACAGACAGACAGACAGACAGACAGACAGACAGACAGACAGACAGACAAGAGCCCCTCATTTTATCTGTCAAACTTTCATAGCAAATCAAAACAAACATAGTGTAGTACGTTAGTTTCAGTAGCCACAACCGGGATCCCATCTGGGCCCGGGGCCTTGCCCACCAATATAGCTCAGTTCTC